ACTTCTCCCACAACTTCTCCCACAACTTCTCCCACAACTTCTCCCACAACTTCTCCCACAACTTCTCCCACAACTTCCCCCACAACTTTCCCCACAACCTCTTCCACGATCTCTTCCACGATCTCTTCCGCGACTTCTCCCTCGCCTGTTGCGCTGCTTCCGTTATTCTAATATGGAGCGACAACGACGCTCTGTGCGACAAAAGCCTCTCACTACTACTGATGCTATGAAACGTCTTGTTGGCAAGGCTAAAAAGGTAGCTGTACTTGGATGCCTTAGCAAGATCGAAAAACGTCGTGCTGCAGATGCCATTGCGATCTCGCAAACAGCACCGAAGACTAGGAAGCGCCAGAAATACAAGCTGTTTTTGTGTGACTTGCTCGAAAACAGTGGCCCTCATTCGTTTTTATTGTGTGCTATTGCATTGGGTCAAGCAATCATCGCCAATATGAAACAGCAAGATCGCAGTAGACTTGTGGACCTCATCAAGAATGATACACGACTCTCTCAACCGAATATCCGAGATCTTGCCATCCAAAACCACATTCCAGTCTCTTTAGATAGTGAGTTACCGATCCAGAAATCGTGATGAGGCTAACTCCTGTTACCTCCCTTAGTGTTGAACATAAGCGGAATACAAAATACGAACAACGCCATTAGGCTGCAGGGCAAGACGGCCGTTCCGGAAACGTACGAAGAGCAAACCATGCAGGTCGCATCACAGTCCATGTCCAACAACGAGATAAGCATGGGCAGACGTGAGTGAGAAGAATTAATCATAATCTTTCGAAGCTAAATACATTCTAGAAATCGAACTCATGTGGTCGAAAGCACCGGTCGGTCTCATTCCGCAACTCGGCGACGTGATGCAACAAGCGATTGAAAGCAGCCTTCAATGGAAAATGGAGAGGGCGGCTGGAGACGAGACAACCGATTGCTTCGTGACGATTGTCCCCGAGGATAAAAATGCAGATATGTCCATCAATCTGCGGGTTGGACAAAGATTCGGTTTGCAGCTGCTCAATTTGTTGAAATTGCGCCCTATGTGGTCATCTTTACTAGGGCATCTACCACCTTGACTTCATGTTTCGGAGGAACGTGAATCTTTATATCGGTTTTCACGTCTCTGTATGGTCTCGTATTCTCCTCGGTAGGAGGAATGATCATAATCAAAGTGCCCCTGCCAATGATGTGCCTATCATGGTCCACTGCGTCAAATATATGCCCTCGGATATATTCTTCTTCTCCGTTGAGGGCAACATCTCCCACCTGGTAGTTTCCTATTAGCAGAATAAAGAAAAGCGGTTGAAAATATGTCGGTCGCGAACCTTGGTGGACATTTCAGATTATCAATCACCTAAGCCAAACCTATAGACACCTCATCAGCGGCATCCTTGATTCATGAGGGAGGCGTATGTACTTTTTCTGGCCTTTTTCAGTCAATGTGCGATTGTGCACGGTAGATTCAGGAAGTTGAAGACTGGGTAACAAGCAAGGGTTAATCCTTTGAGTGTAAAGGGTGTCGACGTTCAATGGGTTGCTTTTCAGCTGCGTAAGCATGAACAAAATTATTCGTTAGACATGATAGAGTTAGGAAGGTGATAACCGCAAGAGTATGTTCACGTACTTCCTGCGAAAGGTGCAAATTTGAACACGCAGACTAGTTGAGGCGAGTCAAATAAGTTTGCAGCTCAAGCATGGGGATGGCGGGCGAGGGGGGCATGAGCTTGGAGGGGCATCATAGTCACGAGGGCTACTCACTGCTGGAATTATTAAGGGCGAGATTTATTGTGACGTGGACTGCTGATTCTCCAAGAATGGCCATTTCTTCCCTTTTGCCTATGCTGGCTCACATTCTTGCCCTTTTCCAGCCAATTGACCTGTGATCGAGTGGATAACGGGCGAGTGGGGGGGTCGCCAGCGAAGCGATGCGCCGACCAAACAGCTTAGTCATGCCCGATATTTTTTTTTAGCGAAATTTGACCGTGATCGCAGTACAACCACCCCTGGAATGCCTGCTGGCACTTCGGCCCAGTCCCGACGTGGCGTTATAGACCTATGAAACTGTATGAATACTTGTCAATGTGTAAACTCTATGTACCACGACATTTACCACGACATCTACCACGGCAATTTTCATGACGTTTCCCAGATCATTTACCACCACATTTCCCACATATTCTTCCAAGAAATTTTCCCGTCTTATGTAGGTTTAATTTGTTCATCATGCATATCGCGATATGATCACATCGCATAGCATGCAATACCTTATCTTTTTAAGTCTACAGGCGCTATAGCCACAGTACTCATCTCAAAGCCGCATGCGAAATAATTTGCCCAATTAGTTTTAGGGTTCTTGATGTGCGTATGTGTATGCCTGGCCTATGAATATTAGCTGGTGAGAACGAATCAGATTGATCTTTCCCCTCGAGCGCAGTTCAATTTAGAGCATGCAGGTTAGAACAATTGCCACAAGGATGAGACGATCAAAGGAAACCCGAGGGAGGTCGACGAAGACATAAAAGGGAGCAAGTTTCTCAGATTTTCGTCAACAGTCACATCAATCTTTGGCATTGCTGGCTCACTTTGTTCTGCGGCCACATTGCCCATCCATCGTTCAGCAAACCCCATTAGCTTGACTTTCTCTCCCAAAAATGGCACCTGTTCAGAGCCACCCAAACTTACTTGCCACTGAGTCTGCATATGTCCAGGGATCGCAAATTGTTTCGGCGCATCTCGCGGAGGCCATTTCCATCATGGCCAAGAAGCTGTTGCCTAATACCAGTCCTCCGAACCCTCCGAACCCTCCGAACACCCCAATTCCTGAATTTCAGCACCTTCATCCCAATGAGGACGAACTTACGCACTTGCTTGAGAGACTCGTCGTTGCAACGGCGTATCCTGCAATTGGGCCAACTGGCTCGCCTGAGTCCACTGAGTCGCAACGGGGAGGCGGTGCCCTGGAAACAGAATTCAAAGAGACTCCTGAAAGGTGAGACATCCTTCCACGATCAACGGATCTTGTTGACATTACGCTCCTAGCACAGCTCCATGTGTTGAGTCATCGATCCCGTGGAAACCAGTGTTTAACATCGTTCATGTGACCATCATGACACACGATCAATCGCGACGCGATGGCGGAGCACCCGCGGAGGGAATGACAGCAAGACCACTGGAAAATCGAAAGCAAGAAACAGGGCCTAGCGAGGCGACACAGCTTGCCAATCCAACTGAAAAGGCTCGCGCATCGGTGCCCGAGTTCAAAAAGGTCTCGGAAACGTAAGAGCTGCCAGGGACAGGCGTCTTCAATAACTCCCGCTGACACCTCCATAGCTGGAACGAACAGTCATACAAGTACGAGATTGTCGAGTCACGGACTGTTAAAGATCAAGAAAGCCACGATGAGTACATTTTCCTTGTGCGTGAACGGGTTGGTAAGTAGACAGGCCCTTCAAGAAAGTTGGAGGTCTAAGATGTGACTAGATCGGAGATCACAGGAGGTGACATCGTACATTGACGTGAAATCGGAATGGCTGCGCGATATCCTGCGTGAGCTGTTGCACCACGTCAAGGCTGTTAGCCTGATGGAAGACAGACCATCGGTGATTCAGACGAACACCAAGTCCATGGAAAACGCTGACTTTCTCTTAGATCGAGCAAAATATCTTATTTCATTTCCTCCCAGAGCTCGACAAGTGTGCGGATAGCTTGGAGGGTGACCCAGACAGTGAATCCACATGCTTGAAGCATTTGCGCCTGCTCATCGACCACCTGAAGCACGCATATGCTTCTACTTCAGAACGTCTCGGTTCAATGTTACAGCATGGCCATATCACCTATGAGCTTCTCTGGGCACTTTTCAAGCCCGGCTTCCACGTTTATACCACCTGCTTTGGATCAGGAGAGCCGCGATGTGTTGTATTCGACGCTGGGGAAGAGACGACGCAAGACAGCGTGGAATTTTACAAGCTCGAGTGTCGGTTCCTTGACTACGATGGAGTCAAGTTTGGGGAGACAGGCATCTATTTGCGCATTCTGAAGTTCCGGGGATCGAAACCAATTGAGACTCTCGAGGCTTTTCCTCTACACCATCATCCGAGTCGCCAACAAGTCCGCAAAAACCTGGTAGAAAGAGGTCGGAAGTTCCGTGATCTGGCCGGTTTGCACATTCAACACTGTACCGGCAACGCATTCTTCATGGAAAACGGCAAGCCCATTCGAATCAATCTCAACAGTCAGGTGGGTGTTGACGCAGCGTTTTTCCGAGAAATGCTGCCGAATTATTCCCGACCCAGGCTCCATGACATCCGGGCAAAAGAAAACGAGGGTATTTCGATCATTGAGATTGATACACTGATAAGTGATAAACGTGAGCAAGAGAAGGAAAAAATGCAAAAAGATAGCGTGGAAGCGCAACAAATGAGCGAGAGCGATTTTTTGGTCTGTTGTCCGACAATTTGCTGCTTCAGCTTCAAGAAGAAGATGTTCTGTATGTGGCACGTGACTGCAACGGGATTGGCTGCATGACTAATAGAAGTTAGTGGAATGTGCGGTCGGTGCTCTTCAGGACGTGCAGTGGTCTCTCACGTCCTACAACGATCTGAAGGTAGCCTCAAAGACCAAGACACTCATCTCATCGCTGACAAAAACCCGTCTGGGCTTGGTGCAAACCATTCCATTTGATAATGGGATCGATGGCAAGGGCCTCGGCCTGAACATCCTTTTACAGTACGCTGGCAAGAACCCTTTCTCGGTTGCTTCAAGTCTGACGTTTCCTAGTGGCCCGCCCGGTGTCGGAAAGACCTTTACCGTCGAGGCAACCTCGGAGCGGTTCAAGCTCCCACTCTATTCAGTAAGCATTTCCCTTCGCGTTGATCGCGGGCTCGCTAACTTGTCCAGATATCGGCCGGTGAACTTGTTGTCGACCACGGTGATTCCCATGCGCTCGAGCAGCAACTCGAAAACATATTCAAGATTTCCAAGCACTTCAATGCCGTGCTTCTCTTAGATGAGGCAGATGCGTTCATGGAGCAGCGTACCTCCTACCACGATACCCACAATCGCCTCGTGACCGTTTTTCTTCGGAAGTTGGAATATTACCAAGGAATCCTCTTCCTAACAACGAATCGGATGATACAATTCGACGAAGCAATCATGAGCCGCATCCATCTGACCATCAAATATGAGGATCTAACAAGAGAATTTCGCAGGGAGATCTGGGAGCATTCATTGTCCAAAGCACACACAGTCCAGGGTCCTGCGGTAGTTAAGCTCGATGAGTTGCAACAGTTGGACAATATTCGTCTGAATGGACGAGAGGTTCGTTCCCGACGGCGCTAGTCAATGCTCACCCAGCTGACCATCATCAGATCAAACACCTTACTTCTATTGCCCACGCCCTTGCCACAGTGGACGGAGAGCCAGTGAGCTACAAACATCTGGAAAAGGCGGCGGAATCGAGTGAAAAGCTCTTAGAGAAGTTCGGTCAGGAGAGTCGTATTGATGGAATGTACGTCTAGGATTACGGGAAACTCTTTGGGGACTTCATCGCAGACTTCATCGCAGTAGTTCAGTGCACAACAGTCTCTAGAGGTTTATAGATTACATAATGAAATAGAAATCTGCAATGTTTTGGTTTTTGGCGCTTGATTCAGTGTGAGACGGACAGACTGACCCGCGGTGAGGACTCTGGAGTTACTGCTGGTCGTGTCACTCAACACTATCGTCACGACCTTTCAGACAGATTGGATTGGCATCCACTGGAGACGGTTCTGTCTATATCTTATGCCCTGGCGCCAAGTTGATCGGTTCTGATTAACTGGCTGAAACGCAGATAGCACAAGCTCGGAGTTACTGACTTGCAGCCAATGACTCTTGGACTTCCCACACCCTCAGCTGCATCAGGGCTCCACAGACGACCGCGATCCGCTGTCCGTCCTTCATATCCTGCGTGCAAGACCACTGTTTCTGCTTTTACAGTTACGGCCGCCCAAACTGACAATTTCTGCGGCACCACCTCCATGTTTCCCAATGCGTAGGTGGAGGCCGTCGCTGCCAAGGCTTCTCGGCTAGAGAAACGTCACTCGTGGGAATGGTCATGGTTGCCGTTCCCGCATATCTCAAGCTGGTGGATTAGCGAAGAGAAGCTCGTGGTCTGATGCAATCAGCCTTCGTCCTTTGGCCTTTCTGTCTCACTAGTCTGCGCTCACTTTTCCACAGTCCGGACGCAGGAAGGCTGCCGCAAGCCGACATTTGCACGGCATTGTGGCAATGGGAAGCACGTGCAATTGTTGCCCTAGCACGGTTTCAGGCATCATGTGACACCGTGCTCCGAATATCTAGCGTCCATATGAGCTTCCACCTGTCTGCTTCTTGGGCATCCAGGCGTGCTTGGTGGTTGAATCATTTCCTGTAGCTTGGTCTTCTAGTCTATTGACATCCCAGTGGATGTGGGTGAACCGGCACTTTACGGGTTCAAAGCTAGCTTCTAGGATCAAATTTGAGCGAAGCACGTTGTCTGAAACGAAGCCGCCATCTGGAAATAGATTTATTCTGGTCAACATCGCATAGTTCAGGAAGGGCGACCTAGCCCACTTTCGACACGTGTGAACGTCGACTGGAATGCCTTTTCATGGCCGTCATTCTGTATGTATTCCGGTTTGGATTCACGGTGCTCAATGATTTCGGGTGATTGCATCTCCGGGGAAATGTCGCTTAACACCTTACAAGCTGATGACAAAGTCTAGCATCAGCATCTGCTGGAGCGCCCCACGTCATGGAACACTTTCAACGGAGCAGCTGGCATACGTCTTCGTCATTGCCTATCAAAATAACCATATCATTGCTACGAGGATGAAGGATTCTATTGTAAAGGGAGTCGATCGGAATCTATGCTCCTTTGCTATTCGATCAATGAAGGCCACGCCCTCTGGGCATGCTCACTTCGGCCGTTTGCGACGAATATGAGATAGGTGGTGCATTATCGCTTGCGTGTTCGCTGAGCTCCAAAGTGACGGACTTGGCCTCATGGCCAAGTTGCATCGAGGTCAAGTATTTCTTCTGGTGGTCACTACAACGGCAAGCCATGAGAGCCTGGCTGCGACTGGCTGACAATCTCCGTAAGACTATACTAGCAGAAGACCCCATCTGGCAAATATCTTATCATATCCACCATTTAGATGCATCTTAATCTCTATTTGCTCCATCATGTGTAAGGCCAGGGTCTCAAAGACCATTCTTGCAGCATGCTATGTCGTTCATGTGCTGATTCACTGCTTGTTGAGTATGGAACTCTTTAGTGCAAGTCATGCACTTCAAGTGGAGCCAGTGATCTGTGTCATACATGTGCTGGTTTGCTGCTTGCTGAGTGTGGAATTTTCTTGTACATGTCTTGCATGGGATGGTAGGTGCCCAATGTCCAACGTCATTCATATGCTGATTTGCTGCTTGCTGAGTGTGGAATTTCTTCTCGCATGTCTCGCATGGGACGGTAGGTGCCCAATGTCCAACGTCGTTCATATGCTGATTTGCTGCTTGCTGAGTGCAAAACTCCTTGTTGCAGGTCTCGCATTCAAAACATGGCGCCCAGTGATCTGTGTCATCCATGTGCTGATCCGCAGCATGCTGAGTGCGGAATTGTTTGTTGCAAGTCTCACATTCAGGCCAGTGGTCAAAGTCATCCATATGGGCCACACAGTCGTCATTGCTCCAGAAGGAGTCTGTACAGGTCTCGCATTCGAACATTTTGCCCTGTGACAGTCAAGATGACAGCTAAACAGAGCAGACGGGTCTTTCGAACAGACCAGAGGAACGTTGGGATAGAAAAGCTGCCAGGTCAACGGAAGATTGTGGACTCGATAGATTAGCTTCTGAATTGACTGAAGAAGGTAGCTTGCCGTTCGCTGAGGAATGGATACATGTGAATTGATGATCATAGGAGGCTGGAATGCTTTATAGGCATTTAGAAGGACCTCGCTAGAAAAATTCGATGCGACAACGCTATAACTCTTGATCGGGAGCATGCAGTCTCTGTTGATGCCGCCGCAGAACAAGTATATCAAGGGGTCCTTGGCAGGTACCCCACTCCTGGATGCAGGTTCCTTTTGCCCATGGTCAACACTCCTACGTTACAATCAAGGGTTCAAACCGCTATGGCAAAAGGTACAAGTGTAAGATAAGGTGGGGGAACGACGTGTTAAATTTCCCCGGTGATACTTTGGCCTAAAATGCACCGAGTGCTGGTGGTTGCCCTTTGACATGACCCTCGCCACGGGAACGGCGACAACCAATGGTATCGCACCCAGCGGCCCGGCCCATGCCTTTGACCACTGGTTCACCATCCGAAGGCCCCCATTTGCTTGCTATGCCAGACGATCATCCGCTACTTCCTGACCATACCCATCTCGTTGACCAATTTAATCGTACCCTGCAAGCCGTGCACCAACAATTCCCCGCTCTTGAGGTTTATATCTTACCTTCGATTCGTGATGGCCAATCAAGCCTGAGGAGCTTTGGCTTCGAGCGGACTCGGCCTCGTTGCGGCGCGTGGTTACCCGTCAGATCACCCTACCTTCGAACAGCCCCAAACGAAAGACAGAGTCTAAACTCGAATATTGTCCTTTGCGGGCGACGTGTCCTATAATCGAGGGGACGCGGTGACTGCTTACTTCGTTACCAAACGCGGACAAGCGATGAGGGGCCGGTCCTACCATTTTTGGAGGAGGGTGCGAGCAGGGACAAAGCCGCCAGACAGCCGGGGATGATGGGCGGCCAATGATGATAGTATATTGAGCGTAACTTAGCAAAGCGAATTATTGATTCAGATCTGGACATCCTAGCGTTCCCGCGAAACGAACGTCTGGCCATTGCACCGTCTTGAATCGGGGCGTCCCCCATTCTATCCTGCCGGGTTAAGCATGGATATCTTCGACTGAGCATTAGCCGAGCCGATCGGAGTGGCCAATCTCGTGGCTCAAGCGCCAGGCAGACAGCAAGGCAACAGCCTTCGCGCAGTTGCGTTTGAACACGTCAAGGACCACCTGTGTCGAGGCTCGTCCCGGCCTGCATGCCCTGTCAACAGTGCCTTCTAACAAGCACGATTGATGCTCTCCGCAAGTCGCGAATTCAACAGAGCACGCTTTGTGTTGCATGACCGATGTCGAGCTCCTGAACCAATGACGAAGACGCCACACAGCCAGGAACCCAGGAGCCAGAACGGGATAAAGATGCGGCAGCGTGGCCCGTGGGAGCAACTCAAGTGATTGATGCATCAATCTGACTTACAATTCATCTGCCCAAAGCGTGAAGGATGCCTTCGAATCGCCATGCCGAGTCTTTACCTCCGGGAAAATGGAATGCCTTCGTCACCGCGACGAAGGAGATTCTTGCCTATTCCCCATATCTGTCGGACGTGGAAAAAGCAGGGGACAACATTAGCTCGCTGCGACAGCAGCTGGCGAAGATGCAGCAAGATCTGAAGGAGAAGCAGCGGGAGCTTGATGAAGCCAACGCCGTACGATCGCGTCTGCATGACGACTATGACAGTCGGTACAGCACGTGGCGAGTCCGAGAGGCTGAGCTCCAGGACGAGCTGCAGGAAACACATTCAAGGGCTCAAACAATCCGCGCGAATGAGGTGCAGGATTTGCAGACGCAGCTGATGACGAACAAGGGTGCTCTTGACCAAACGCGACAGCAACTTCAGGAGGCGCAGACATTACTGGTCAATTATAGAGCTCAGATAAAGGACTCCAAAGACCTGGCGGAGAGCCGGGAACGGGCGCTTGGATTGACAGATCTCGACGAGGACTTGTAAGCACACCGAGGCCCCGATCGACGGTGACGCTGACCGTGACAGTGAACATGAACTCGAACAATTGTCCCAGCAGCTCTACAAGCTGTCGCAGCGATACTTTGCCCGCGACCTGCCGCAGGAGGCCAACCGAGTAAGTGCGATGCAGGATGGACAGGATATTTCCAAGACGGTTGCTCATGCTATGCAGGACGATGTGTATCAGCGCCTGTGGCAATCGAGCTTCATGAGCGTGTTTTCCGGTCCGATCGCCATCTCCAATTCCTCAGCGTCCAAGCACATGCGCGCCGCCGCGGTCGAATCCTTGATCGCCAATGAACTGGTCAAATCCATCTTCCAGGATCCCAGCGTCGTCCGACAAGGACGCGTCCCGCGTGACTTGCTGGATCGACTTGCGCACCACCCGCTGCAAGAGGGCGTCATGCGTTCGCTGATCTTGAAGGCTTATGCGTTCGAAGAGACTCAGGCACGCGTCCAGAGCGTTCGCAGAGCAACCACTGACGTGCTCGGAATGGCCGCGCCTCTTTTGTCCGATACCGACCGCGATCTATTCGCACGGGATCTGTCGGCATATCTCGAAACGACGGCGGATCTGTGGGAAAGACGCCTGCGCAGTGAGGAAGACATCAGCGTGTCAATCAATCTTCGTCAGGAAAACACGACCTGGCGCATGCGTGGCGAGTCCCCCGAGGGAGACCCGTCGGATGGTGCAGCTCCAATCATGGTGCTGTTCCCACGCATCTGTCGAGAAAGAGATCAGAAGCTGTTGTGCGAAGGGGTGGCGCTATGGTCCGATCAGCCGTTCGTCAACGCGGCACAGATCGAGGCGCAGGCGCAAGCCACGCGGATACCAGCGACTCTGAAAATCTCACGCGGGGCCAGCGTAGCCAGTCGACGACGGCAAAGCACCAGTATGCCATCCGAATCCTCGAACAATAGGGACGTGGCGAGAAGCTCAGCAGGAAGCACAAGTCCCACCGATCGAACGTTCGCGGGTCGAGCGAACCGAGCCAAGAAAGACGGTTCCACGGCGTAGATGATGCTACGGCCGCTGAGACCTGGCTCGTCTTTGCACTACGCTGTTGACTGCTTGCGAATCGCAGCATAACGGACGATAAATCCGCATTTACGTACGCGATGCAGCAGTGGCCTCTCTCGCGTCTTCGAATCTCCAAGTCACTGCTGAATATGATGCAAAGAGAAGAGCTCATTAATATTTGGACGTTCTTGAAATTCCTTCACGCACCGGCAAACAGGTGCAAAGTAATGTCAAAGTAATACGTTTCCATCCTATCTATAGACAAATCGTCTTGTTTTAAGGAAGCACGCGTGCAGGCCTCAGCTTTTTTTTTTTTTTGGCAACGATGAGATAATTAACAAATTTCTGAGTGAACTTGAGCTTTGCCCCTGACCTCTGTCCATGCCACTGCATTTTGCATAGTTCCAGCGACGACGAAAGACTTATCTGATGACTACGCCCTCCTTACCTACCAAGAATCTTTGGCTCCGCCGCAATGCTGTTGTTAACAGCTGGTGGTAGTGGAGACCATCACAGGTAAGAGCTCAATCCTCGAGGCCATTATCGGCATTCCATTCCCGGCAGGATGGTCTTTGCATGAGGTTCCCCACCGAGGTCTTCTCCCCAAGGACCCGCGAGATCCATCAAAGATCATCCACCAACGCCAGCACATCGCTCAGTGTCCGAGCTATGCGCTCTTCCGGGAAAAATTCGTTGACTGTGGGCTCTCTTGGCCAAGGTGGGCAAAGGCAATCGTCGCCGTGACCAGCGAGCTGATGCGGATGCTCTGTGTGCCGACATCGCCCTCCCATTTCCTGTGCGCCTTGCGATACGCACTGTAAGCGGAAGGATCGAACGTGCGGCCTCCGTAACCAAACCAATCCTCAATCGCTTCGTGGAATCTTTGGGTTTTGAGCGTGTGGCCCAGTATGCCTACTAGAGACACGCCGCCCTCCATTTTGAAGTACCCCGGCTCAATGAGTGTCGTAAGGTCGAGCATTCGTTCCATGCAACTGACGTGAAAGTATTCGTTAGTCCTAGTGCACTGTCAGCGGCACCAGCCATTAGGAACCAAAGGACGATCGGAAGCTCGGCAGGGTCACACGCTGACCTGGAGTGCATGAGTTTGAGCCGGAAGGCCGAAGAGATGTTGGGCCACCCGGTGACCTGCCGCGGCGGGCAGACAACGGCTCGACAATGGCTTCGATCGGTGTAGTTGCTCTGCAACACGAGGATGGCAGATCCTGTCCGAAGCTGCTCCTCGATGGTATGCTTCTGCGCGGAGACCCACTCGGCCTCCTCACGAACCGGCAGGACCTCCGTCATGCTGTCTGAAGCTCCTAATCGGACACTGCGGCGAGGCTCGGCCCGTCCGCCGCGTCGATCCTGGACGCCATTGGTACTGTGGGCACCGTCGAGAGGCATCGTCTTGAAAATGGGCGAGGGCTGAGGCAATCGAAATGTTAATGATAAATTCAGGGCGCCCAACGCCTATTCTTTAAAGCAGACATGCAGATATTGAGGGCCCGCATTGTGGGTCTGTACAAGTGGTAGGCGTGTCGCTTTTCAGATGGGCGGCTCTTGGAGGCTACCATGGGGGTGTCTGGACAGGACAAATCGAGGGTAGCTGGCCCTTATTGGTTCCGGAGTGTACCTTTGATAGCAAGGCTCTTGGTAGGCATCCAGTTTGGCTGAAACCACTTCCACATGCATGCTTGTGGGTGTTCTGGGGTGTCGTCCCATCACCGTTGAGGTGTTGTCGATCAAGTGGAGAACCAGACCATCAGTCCACGAACTGGTGGGTCGTTGTCCAGCTCCGGGATGAGACAATTCAGCCTAAGCTTGGACAACATGGCCGCCTTGGCATAGCGATACCATATCGGGCACGACCGTGCCCCCAAGCGGCAAGGCCAAGTCGGGAACGATCAACGCGGGTGGTAGGTAGTCCTTCCGAACTTGAATTTAGGCTGCACTCGTCCGTCTTTCCAGATCCAGGCACAGGGGACGGTTCGACCTAAAAGCCTCCGCCGTTGAAATGCCGTAGCAAGAGGCAGTCTAAAATGTAACAGCCAGAGGCTCATAGCAGTCATCTTGATATGCTTTGCCACCTTTGCACCCGGATTTTCTTCAACGATAGACATGTACAAGTAGTGATATAGGAATGTACATACAAAGCTGACCTTCTCACCCCATGCACCGAACGGCCTGTATGACAGGCAGACAGATTCTTCCCTTGCACCTGGGTTCGCAACCACTTTCCGTTTCACCAGCCGCTCCCACATGTTGCCTGCGACGCCGGCTGAAGCTGCCCTTTGACGGGTACAATCACATGGGCTGAGCTCAGGGAACGGTGGGTTAATGAGAGTTCGAGCCATTCCAAGCATCAGCAACTCCAGGTCACAGAAGAGGCCTATCGGACTAAACAGTGGAGGGATAGAGTGTTCAAAGGATGCTATTCGGTTGCGAACCTTCATAGTTCCATTTGGTCTATAGTTTGACCGACTGCTGCCCAGTCACCAATGTTCTCCGTTCGGTCCGATGACAATCCAGCTAGAAGCCTCCACTATCTGCGCTGAGAATATCGCCCTTTTCTCCATTCTCCACTCTTTTCGTAACGCAGGTCCCGTCCAATCAGTGCCTTTCCCTCCGTCATCAAATGCCCTTGATCGTGTGCTGGCTTGCCAGGATGGCTATGCCTTAAGCTTGGATAAAGAGCGCGGCCTGGCAAGTATCCTCGCATTTCTCGCACAAACCGAGAACGATCGAAACCACATTCCTGCAGTCTGCATCGAACAGTCGGCAGATTTGCTTAACTTAAATGTCTTCGTGGCTGTGAATAGGACGAGGTGCGATGATGGCGATAGCATCCTTCGCAATACAGTACGATGCCTCGATAACCTCTTCCTCGTTCTTGCAAGGGTATCGGACAGTAAGTGGCTCTCAAATTCGCTCCTCGACTGCGCTAACAACCCAGATCGACGTGATTACCCTAGCATTGAGAAGGACATCTTCGCCGAAGTTATCTCCATGTGTTCGAAACGCATTCTGCAACGACTCCGATTCACTTCTATCGTTGGGGAATCTAAAAAGAAACCTATCAAAGAAGTCCTGAAGAAAACGATAGAATGCGTGAAGATGATTGATACAACCCGAATCCCGAGCCGAACCTTGGCCTCCACCATTGACATATTTACCAGAAGATCCAGAGAAGTGATAAAGTTGATAAATTCATGGAGCGGGAATCAGACCGAACCTCGCCTGGGCGCTCTAGTCGAAGGCATTCATCATTTGGGGCAAGTGGAAACGCTTGGCTCTATGCTCGACAGGATACCCAACAAGGATATGAGTCCAGCAGAGCGCAAAAGTCTATTGAACGTTGTTCATAAAGTCTCCAGGTATCGGACCGCTGCTAAATTTCTCTATCGCACGGCGAAGAAGGTCCCCTTGGCGCGACAGATGAAAGCCTCCGCTATCAAGCTACCCTCTGAGGCATTTCAGTCCTTCTCACCCAGTGGATACGTTCCTGTCCTACGGACTACGCTCTTACGGATCGATCAAAAATATATTCGTGACAACGCTCTTACTCAGGTTCTGCATTTTCTGGATGCTCCTAAAGGGAAGGCTGCAGATCAGTTCTCCGCCTGCGTGCGGGGAACCATGCGAGAGGCAAAGATCCACGCTGAGATCCAGCTAATCGCGCACTGTGAGCGTCGCACGTCGAAGATTCCCCCTCGAGTGATTTGTGCCAGCAAGGATGCTTGCTTTCTGTGCAATTCTCTCATCAAGCTGGCTGGAAAATTACATACTCCGCGATGCCACGGACGGTTGTATCCTGGGTGGCGACTGCCATCTCTTCCACAACTGAAAGAGATCGAACGAATGTTCAATGATGTGCTACAAAGCTGTATCAAGGAAAGCCTTTCCACTCTATTATTGCGACGGCAGAAGACCGTCTTTCCGTTGCCCAATGAGAGCACTCTCCTCACGTTGCCAATGTCGGAGACAACAAAATGCAGCTCTGTGCAAAAGGATATGGATAGAGTGAGAACGCCCACCCCATCTCTTCCGCGGATATTCGAGGAATCAAACCGGACGGCAGAGTCTGCAGGACGTGCAATGTCCAGTGACCAGACTGTTTCGGACGCTTCAGGTGCCGGCGATACTTTGCAGATCCGGCGACTGTCAACTCCAGATAGTCTTCTCTCTGCGAGACAAGCGCCCTTTCAAAGCCCAATCTTATCGAATGGCATTGACGTTTACCGAACGTCGTCGCTTCATACGGCGGGACGCCTGGAATTGCAGGTTGAAATTGTCACCTCGTCACCCGATTTTGGTTACACCGTTGAATGGCTCACAGATGAGGACAGCAGAAGAGTACGGGAAAGCCATCGGAGTTCTATCATCAATGCGGAGTCTCTAGACAGTGAAATGTCCCTTAGCAACCTTCAGAGCCTTTACATCACGGCAGAAGGAACGACAGTGAAGGTGGAGTGGCATGCTCGGATACGCTCTTCCGCTTCGTGAATTCCACGCGAAAGTCCGCGAGGTGCTCCACGGTACCAATGCCGCGTATGTCGATCAAGAGGGACACAATTATAGTTGGCGACCATACCAAAATCCACGAATATCACACCGGATAAATCGAAGCAGTTGTGTATAATATGCCGAGATATACATCGCCTCTAATTGGCTGCCAACGTGCATGCTTGGAATTGGTTGAGGAAGCTAGCTATGAAGCTGTAAAGTTACTCCTTCAAACCAATCGGATCTCAATAGACTAGAAGACGAAGTTGGGCAACCAACAAGCACGCCTAGATGCCCAAGAAGCAGACAGCTGGGAGCTCATATGGACGCTAGATATTCTGTAGAAGAACGCTGCAAGATGGAATCTGAAGCCGATGGTTCCGTATGTCCTCGTCCGTATAGTACGATGTCACATGATGCCTGTGACCATGCATAGTGACAGTGAAGGTCTTCTTCTTAAGAGGCTCGCTGGCGTTCCAGTCCACACTGTCCACCCACTCTTCAATTCCAGATGCGTTCTTCTCGACCACAAAGACGTTACCAGATTGGATCAATTCGGCCTCTTCGCTTTTGCGCATCCGACGAGGGGCGTGGTGTAATATGCCCATCACGCACCCTTGGACGACCCTCCGCGCCTCGTCTGGAGTGCCGACGTATCCTTCGTAGGATGGTTTCAAGATGCTGGACATTGAAATCAGGACCGAACGCGTACACCGATAGGGTCTCGGACCGCAATCGCAAGTTATCTGTCTACGGTCAGTCTGGCTAGGATACACGGGAATGGTAGCATCATCCCCCTGGAAGATGGAGCGAAAGAAGTGCGTACCAAAAATTTAATGACTATTAGAACTTCGTGACAGATGAAGGGTGTAATCTAAAATGTTTGTTCAGCACGGCATCGAAGACGGCCTGTGTAAGTACTTATCGCAGGAGGTGATCTAGTCAAAGGTGTGGTCACGACGAATTGGCTCCTTTACCATCTCAGGCGTCAGCATGATCCATGTTCGAGCCCTTGACGCTGCTGCCACGCAGATCGAGTGGATTGGCCATTTCCTGGCTGCTGTCTGTACGCCCGGGGCGCGGAGAAGAGGGAAGAGGGCACGGTTTCGTTCCACTGCATCGAATGCGGTAGATTTTAGACGCATGTGATCCTGGAAGAACGGGCTGCGGGAAGAGAGGGGCAAGGCGGCCACGGTCGCCCACCCGCCACATGTTGCGGGCCGTCGATGACGATTTGGTAGTTTCCCACCACGTACTATGTACTCCGTATTTGGCATCTTGTAGCGAAGCGAGATAACGAGCCGAGATAGCACTTCCGCAGTAGCAGCTGACACAAACGTCTGGCCATTGCGCCCGCTTTGCTCCGATTCGGTTTGACAGATTAAGCGGTAGCCAAAGCACGGGCAAACGGTGCTCTCTACTTCTAGAAGTCCGCCTACTAGCATCGCCCGAAAAGCGAGGTTTGATCAGATTAGAGGCGTTGAGGGGACAGTCGATGGTCGGAAGTGATCGTCGACCTCGAAAAGTATGATGGAAACTGGAAAGCCATCCGACTCAGTTTGGAGGCAGGAGCCAAAATTGACAGCATCTTCGGTTCACGAGGCTTGCCGATTTTGGGGGCAGCAACCTTCGTTTCAGTCGATCTGATCGGAATTTGATGCACCGGCCAACGAACTACCTGGGATTGGCTTGTCACTGGCGCTAGGACCGGCTTCCGCGAATTTTGTCAGATCGTAGGTGATCTGCTAGTGACCAGCCACTCTGAAACGCCCTGCTGGACAGAGGCACACCGAGACGACTTGTACGTACCAAGGCGCACGTATATGGGATACCTTGCTACCACCAGACCCTCATACGCTCGAGGAGCCTCATTCTGGCCGCGGCGACCACTCGTCCGAGCATTATCGGAGGCAGCAGCCTACATAGCACGCCTTACCATACCCTCGAGACCCTTAACTCACGTCAGCCGATCGGCACTGCATTGAGAACTAGGTTTGTGGTGGCCAACGCTATTCATGCCACGCATTTGACGGAACCAAAGCTAGAACATGGCACAGCGAGAAAATTATCAGATTACACTCTAAACGAACAATACTCTCTACCTCGCAAGCTCTCTCTCCACTCCCACTCAACGTCGCAAAGGCAGCAACCCTTACTTGTAATCTGAAAGGGTCGCCGGCAAATACCTCTCCTCGGTGGCTTGCTCCATGCTATCTACCCACGCACCACACAGAGAACCCCTAATCTCTCATTAGGATGTCATCACTTCCAAATACAGGTGTACAACAAACGTACCTTGCCTTATATACTGGAATGAGGGCTCTGGTGCCCACAGGAACGGTCGATAATTGGGCAATCATATCACCAAATCCTACATACTCGGCGTAAGTCGGAATCGATCTGTACCCGCCTCGGTCTGCTTCAGCATGAAAGGAGTCAATCTGTCCCAGGATCTCTTTGAGCAAATCTTTGCATCCGTCGAGATGTGAGCCAAGTTCCATCGGTATATAGTCTTCGGAGTTTTGGAATTCCTCCAGGTCATCCACTGTCGCTTTTGCCGAATCGAGTGCCTTGGGGAGGAGATGTTTCAATTGTTCCAGTGCTCCAAAGTTGGTTCCTGGATCAAGGCGAGCGCTGTTCCTCCATTTGGATGATTCAAGTTTCTTGGATACCTGACTGATTGCTGACGCAACACTTTCCGATGAGGGCAGAGTGCTATTGCTGACTCGCACAAAGGGATGGAGGGTCATTACAAGTTACCGCTTTGCAATGCTTCATGTGAGAAACATAGTGACAAGGCCGAGACTGATTCAAGGTTAGAGTTAGAATTACGAGTCCCGACTTGCAAGAGCTTCCTGTGCTTTCTGAAACAGATCATCCATCAAAGAAAATAGCTCAGGACTGCTGTCCTTCCGTCTGCTGCCGCCTGGGAATATGATCTTTCGTAGTCTGTTGACCCAAGGAATCAAGGGTTGATAGAATGGTGTAAAATACTCCTCCACCGTCTGGAGAAAGTCTTCTTCGTCGGCCACGACACCTTTCTTCACCTCTGCTAGCTCCCTTATATCCATGTAGTTCCAATTCTCGAACCTACGAACCACGCGACTCTTTCCGTGTGGGCCATTGTAGTGGATGCCAAACCAAAAGAAGACCCAAAAGAACGATTCATAATCGTGTTTGATGGCACGCAACTCGCCTTGCATAACACCAACGGCCATAAAGGGTCGTGTTCCAGTCTTGTGACGGACAGGAGACGGTCCCGTTCGGTCTGCCCTGACAGCGAGGTCGAGATCAATGATGAATGCAAACCATGAAGGGTTCCCCTCGTCCTCGTTCATTCGAAGATTTCCGGTGGATATATCGCACTGCAACAGACCGGTCTTTTCGTACAAGTCCTTACACCCTGTATGGTTAGCTAGAGGTTCCGAAGACGACCACCGCCAGCTTACCCTGGAGACACTCCCACAGTGCACGAACAAAGACAAGGACAGAGCTGGCCTTATGCAAAGGCGTTCCGTAGTCACGTATGATCACCCGTCGATGTTCGCGATTCCCTGGCGTGGATAGGCTCTGCCGCTTCGTCGGAGAACTCGAGCATGCCCGTTTACTGGACGGGAGAGACGGACGGAACGAGCTGGACGATCGCTTGCGCCCAATAATACTGGGGATTTCGAAGCTCCGACCACGATCGGCCTCGCTCCGCGAGCTAGGTGTTGGAGAGGATCTCTGTAGATCAGCCGCCTTTTGGCTTTCCACGATGTAATTCGTCGCTTTTGTGATGTCCAATCCTTTGCGGATGTTGCAGACATCGTCTATGTCGCCGCCAGCTAAGACCGTCTCATGGTAATGGTATCGGGCCACATTTCTCACTTTTTTCTCCGTGGCCTCCCGCAACAAGACGCCCTCCTCTTCGCGCTCCGTGTACTGCCAGGAGTCTTTGATGACGAAGACAGTCTTGGAGTCGTCCCCCTCGCGATGGGCTTTCCAGCACGTGGTTGCCCGTCCTGCAATGCACGTGGCCCGTTTTATCAGTTCGTCGATAATAAGCCGCTCTTTTTGCTTTCCCTGGCCAATCTCGATGAAGTGCTGACCGTCCAGTTCGATAATGCTAGGGTCAAATCCTAGCTGTTCGCGGCTCATCCAGAGAAAGGTCAACACCACCGAGACGAACCGCAAACCATCACCATGGATATCGAACGATACAGATGCCATTGCCCCGATCCGGTCGAACAGCCACAGTCGCATCAACGATCCGCAAAGCGTAAACCCTAGCACGCTCCGCCGCATGTCCTGGGCCGTGAGCACCTCTCGTGCGTACCGGCCAAGGTCCAACCAGGTCTTTGAGGTGTTGTCTGCTGACGGATTGCTCTTTAGCTCGCCAGGAACTAGGATCTGTGCCCAGTGGCAACGGGAATCTTCGCGAGCGCTTGGCTCATCCACAAAACCAATATCGAGCTTTCGACCCGCCGTGGACCCGGCGAGAGGCTGCGCGGGCTGTGCCACTGGTCGTCGCGAAACCTTTGGCGCGGACGGTTGAACCTTTGCTAAATCCACGAAGAGATTGACGCGTGTCGAGAGCCAACTCAGCACGTCCTTCTCTCTGGAACCTTCAGGCCAGTCTCGCCAGCCGCTTTCTGTACGGTACAGCGGGTTGTCTCCTGCTTGACATTTCGCAAACACTGCCTCGAAGATTGTCTGGCGTGCTGGCTCTGTGCAGAAGAAGGCTTCGTAGAAACCGGGCACGCCGACATAGATGGGGCCCAATTCCTCCTTCAGAAGGGGGTCCATGTCTTTGCGATGTTCGGATGAATCCACTATGTTGCTCGAGGTGAATCGACTGGGAGTCTGAAAAACGGAAGCTAGTGGCCGTGGCGGCGGCGTGGATTCCGTGATGAGCTCGTAGGCCGCATTCCAAACCTCATCGTCAGTAGCCGTGCGGATGACTTTGGAAAAGAGCGGGATAACGGAACGCGGGTTCTCTTCATTTGAATCAAGACGCGAATAGAGATTTGCCAGTTCCGCAGCGAGGAAACCCCGGCCCTTTCCTGAGCGAAGTGTATATGCGGCAGGAAGAATCTGCAATGCTCTCACAAGCTCGAGCATAGTGTCTTTGATGCCTGTTGACGTTAGGCTTGTCGAACAGCATGATTAAGATCTCACCTTCATCATCGAGCCGTTGGAGGATGTCAGCTCCTTCCGCAATACCCAAATCGCGACACTTCGAGTTCAGCGAATTGCGAAAAGAATCAAGTCCTCTCCCAATGGGCCTTTTCTTGATAATTTCCTCTCGGAAGTCACTGGCCATATTATGAATGAGGATCGCGATGTGTATATCGCGACCAAGTGTGGCAGAAGACTATGATGGGTCCTCGGCGATGCCTCAGTTGCGGCTCAGCGCTATTTTCCGTTATTCCGCTGAGCGGTCGTTACCCCCGAACCGAGAATATTGTCAATGACAGGAGTAACTTATGCAAAGCGCCCCAGGGGCGGCTGACAAAAGGTTTGGCGAGGTGCTCCGGATAGTGACCTGGCATTGGGTCAGTACTACACGATAGTCCAAGCAGGGTACGGTGGAAAAGCTTAAAGGTACTTAGTTTTACCCCCCAATAGAAGCAAACAATTATGTGCCACTAGCTCCCCAAGTGTACCCTCTGGGACTCCCATGTAGCCCCGACCGTCCGGCAGATTCCCACTCTTCGTCTTTTCCGACTTGTTCAACCCACGCCAGCCCTTTTGTCACCCCGCCCTGACGGAGCCGCTGGTGAACAGAGGGAAGATGAGAAAAGCCCTTGAAGAGAGAGAGAGAGGAGGGGAGAGGGGGGGAGGGGGGTTCTGATCCAGCGAAGCAAAGACGGCGTGGAATGCTCTAGGCCCAGAAGGCAAAGCAAGAGAAGGTCTCAAAAAGCTACGCTCCGACTAAAACCCTGCGTTGCATGGTCGTGGCCCGAGATCCTCCATGTCAATAGATAGAAATCCGTGGCATTTCCCATGACGGGATGGAGAAAATTGACCTGCGCGCCATGGGAGTCGCAAACTCCTTGAAGCAAAGAACCGACAACCCAAATCGTTATGATCCCCCGGCTCATATTTGTAAGGCATATGTTTTTGGTCTCATTGTATGTCGTCACCGCGTCAAGGACTTCCACAGTTGTTAATCTAGCACTAGTGTCTCATTGCTGCAGTAAATGCTATCGTATAAAACATAATCATCAAAGTGTGTCGATTCCGCTCTTTATTTTCCACCGTGCTCATCCAGATACCTTTGCGTCATCAAGCTTGTCCTGACTAATTTCAAGCAAGTTCTGCCGCTGCTCATCAGTGAGTTGAGCTAACAACTCTTCCTCGCCACTCATTTCATAATGGCTGTGGTGAATAAACGTCCAGTAAATTTCATCAAAGAAGTAGGCATTGCGTGCAGCATATAGGATCCAAAAAAGCTTAAGGTTATTTTCCATGTCCTTCTTCATCTCTTCTGATACACACTGTGATCGCTGTAATCTTCCATTACTAATAGCCAAAGACTCGGACTCGGACAATGCTTCCACAAACAGAGGAAATCTGGACTTGAATTTCGTCTCAAAGCTCTGGAATCCAACTTCTTCTGGCCGTTGAAGAAGCAACCACCAAGGTGGAACCTGTCCGAACTCTTGGGGAGCAGCGTAGCAAAACTCCCAGTCCAGAACGGCCTTGATTTCCAATTCGTCGTCAACAAGTACATTTGAAGGCCGAAAATCATCACAGGTCAGACGGAACTCGCCTTCGGGTCGAAGGGGCAGCAATGAAATGATCTTCTGGAAAAGGCACCGCGCAATGTATTTCCGCCGACAGTCGGCTTCATCTTTCACGAAGCCATGGCGTTGCTCTTTTAAATGGTGAAAAAGCTGATCAGATAATGCCTTCAAATACTCGCGAGTAGACGAAAATGTTTGGTCCATGTTGAGCATGGGCGGCACATTTCCCATTTCAGCTAGGAAGACCATGTCGCCTGTAAGCGGGCGGCCGTCTATGGTGCCATCGTTGCTGATCGAGCCAATTTGGTTGAAGCTAATTTGCTGGAGCTCGACGAGGACATCTGCCATTTGACGATAGGCTTTCCTTAGCTTGTTCTCATCGACCTCTTCATTTAGTACATAATCGTCTGGTGATTTCTCTAGGTCCTCTGACATTGTGTGCCCGTCAACATATTGCATGATGATATAAGGTCCCAGATCACACTCTCCGTGGTCGAGAACTTCGGGGATCGGAATGGACGTGTAGCGTTTGATGAACCCCATGATGGCAACCTCCTTTCGAACTTTCTCGTTCGGAAATCTTTGTCGTCCGGGTTGAGGAAAGCGAAGTACGGTATCCAACTGGCTGTTCTTGTATCTATAGATAAAACCAGCGTTGAATCCCCCTATGAGAACTTCACGCGACTGTGGTCTCTGATCACCTCGAATTGTGGCCACAAGGTTTTCGAGCGGTATCTTCCACTCGTCACTGCAGGTTCGCTTTACCCAAGCAAGGAACATCTCATCTGATCGATCAGCGGCGACATCATCAAAGGGATAACCCATACTTTCGAGGTGCGCTCTGCAATGGAATACAGTTTTAAGTAGTTATCGCAAAAGACAGGATGCTCGAGACTAGAGGCGAGGACACTCCTTAAATACACAAAGTACCTTGTCCGTGTTACTAGAGGTGCAACGCTAATGTCTGGAATCTTGGAACGTCAAACAACTCATCCACGCCACGTCGACACTGACTACCACACAATAAAACATTGATTCATTTGATTGGAAACCTAGCGAGCCATGTTGAATGGCAACTCTTCTGCAAACTCAATTCAAAGAGGAAAGGCAAGATGAAAACCCTTAAGCTGCAGGCTTCTTGCCCGATCCACCACTGGACTCCCCTTGGCCTCCTTGTTTGGCCCGGCGCTCCTGGGAAGCTCGGGCCGCACGCGTCATCGCCTCTTCCTCCTGATCAGTAGGGATCTTGTATGATTCCTGCCCCTTTCCCCTGCGGTTCTGAGATGCAGTGCCGACCTTCTGCAAGAACGCCTTTTCTTCATTTGTCATATCGACAGGCATGGCTAAGCTAGTGAGATATTGAGACTTATGCGTGTGTATATTGCTCGCTTACCGGTGGAGTTAACGTTTCCGTTCTCTGAGCTCGAGGAGAGATATGTGATACAATGATGGTGTTGTATGGCTCGCTTTTAGGTTCTGGGAGGAAGATGCGAGAAGAGGATGGTTTTTAGCACTCCATTTTGAATTCTCTTGTCCTCTTCTTATAGAGGGCACCCTGTTCAATACTGAGTGCGATGTCAATGCCTCCTCCCTGAATCTCAATGGTCATAATTGTATGAAGCTTTGTCTCCGGCAGGACCTTCAGCCGCTCAAAATGTTAGCAGGTATTGTGTGGCACCAATGGAGCGATGCGCCCCGATTATCGAGAGCAGGCAGCAGCGCCTATGAGGCAATTCTCTCTGGTATGCATCGAGATGCTGATCTGGCGATTCAACGACGACTATAGCAATATCTTCTGTCTGATAGCAATGAGAGTACCTCACTCGCTCCAAACGCCGTACAAGTTTGAAATTCGCTGTTATTGCCAACGCTATTTCTTCAGCTACAAAGTCTCTCAACCACTAGGCAAGCTACTAGTGTCAGAAAAGTTCATTCTAACACAGCGCTATGTCCGGAAAGGGTTTACTAGCAGAACACCGCCTTCGAAGGCGGTGTTCTGCTAGTAAACCCTTTCCGGACATAGCGCTGTGACGGTCAACTACGAAAAGATCGGCATGTCAGCTCCAAATCCTCCGCTAAGATCGAGGTAGGAGAGCCCAAGGATCGACTAGGTTCCTATCCAAGGTCATCCACCACAGGGTGGGCACTTACAGGAGATTAGTGACTTCATGAAGCCATGGTCCCTAATGTTTGGTCGCGTAGTAGTGTTACAATTGGAACTCGGTCGATAGGTCCAGCACAGTGGTGACAGCAAAGCCCTGACATTCTAGGGGTTGGGCCCCTGGGAGTCGCCACTTACCAAGCGCCCTCTGCTTCGAGCTATTCGTGGGTATACTTCGTAGTGAGGGAGTGTGCTCGATATCAACCTTGATCTTACATGATTTGTTTGGAATCTGTGCTCTGTGAGTGGTCCATGGCGCTCTTGCAGTGCTGGAAAAGGCTGCAGAACAGGTGTCAGAGATGATACGTATCTGCTGTATCTTCTAAGAAAAATTTATGATTATCACCTCTTGAAATAACATGCGTTGGATCAGTGTATAAGAGACACCGCCTCAGGCTTCTATGCGAGTGACTCTTTATGCTATAGTCTTACCTCACGAGCCGCCAAGAGTGATGGCTTGCGATGTCCCTTTCCCCAAATCTATGCCTATAGATTGCAGTACTTAATAAGAATATACTTAAAGTTTCCTAATGGTGTGAGCGAGGGTTCCTTTACCAGTGGGTTGCCTTGAGAACCTTTGCCCAACATTTTTGTCAGCCGCCCTGAACGTCTTGCGATTATTGTTAGTACATCAAAATGCATAAACACGTGTTGCACAGTTTTCACATCCAAGCACAAATGTGGCATAAGAAACGCAAAGAAACACGTAGCATCAGGTATCGTAGTGAGCGGCCAGTGTCTAGGTACGGTGTACCTAAGAGCCTTCTATGCATGCATATGGAAACCCGGTGTTCCAACCCGAGCATTCATCCAACATCTCACGGCATCTTCCGGAGCAAAGCCCCGCCAAAGCCCCTCCACCCAAATCTGTTGCCTTGACAGTCGTGGCAGACACTTTCATGCAGAAAAGCAGGACGACACGTATCGCCAGGCGCAGAGCATCTTTGCAGATCCTCGTACGCATTCATATCCCTTGACAAACAAGTTATCTATTTGTACTTCTCCTGTCCTTTAGCTACTGAACTGCCCAGTGATACCTTGCTAAGAACAGACAGCAATGAGCGGCAAAGAAAAATATCTTCGATCTTCACGACGCAAAACCGCCAAGGAACATTGCGACACTATCAGAGAATGGCTTCCAGAGGGAGAGTTTCAACCAAACCCTATAGCACCATATACATTTGGCTGCGCAAACATCCCTGAAGCCTATTCGCAGCCATTTCTTGAGAAGGTACTTCGCACCTCTGTTACTTTTAGAAAGTCTAGCAACTTATTCATGCAGGGAGAAATACCGCTTGTTCTCCGATTCAAGAGTCCAGGGATACCTAAACAACAAGCCGGGCGTATTACACTTATAGATTGCACGAAAGAAAAGATTGTGTTGGAGCTAGTCAACTATGATGTATTTCTTGAGCTGGGGTTGGGCGATACCGCGGAATGGAAGGGAACGATAAAAATACATGACCAGTCCACTTGCTTTTTTAGTTACCCTTCATAGCCACAAATTGTTGCCACCAATTTAAATCCATTACAGGATCACTATTATTGAAGTCACAGTCGCTCACCCAAGCGAGAGCATCAGCGATATCTTGCTCCGTTTGTCGCTCGCCACACTGATGACTCATATTAGGAACGCTTTCCCCTTCTGAATGATCAGCAGATGATATCTTGGCCAATGTGTGCAAACTCGATGGAGCCTGTGGCCTACCTCCAATAGGAAACGACGACGCATGCTCTTCGGTACCTGGTACGAAAAGGGGCTCGGCGGCCTGCGACAGTATGTCCATTCCTGTCGGTCTTGCTCCTTCTGTCCAGGCTTGGTTCGGGCGAGAAGTGAAAAGTTCATTTCCCGACTCCAAACGTATATCCTTGCCAGTCTCGGCATTACCTATAATCGAGGCCCATTAGTCCTAGTCTATCAAATATTGGTCTGTGACTTACATCTCCAAGCTGTCGCCTGCTCTCGGGCGCTAGAAATGGAAAGGGTTTCCTCACCAGTCCCGACATATCCATCTATTTCCACGAGTTAGTACATAAAAACACGAGCAGAATATCCCACGCTTACAATCCTGTCCGGTCGCGGCAGTGGTAGGGCTTTCTAGCAGCTCGGTTCTTTGTCTTGTCGTGATATCGGCTGGCAAATCCAATTGATGTGGCAGCAATGACGGCAGTAAACCATCTGAAAACGAAGGTTGTACGTCATTCTCTGTTTGGTTGACGTCTTCGATCGACTGACATGCCGTCGCCTGCACGAGTCGCTTCGACGAGTGGGAGATGGCAGTATGAGAAAGGCGTCGTTTTCTAGCGGATACATATGTGGGCGCTTGGGGCTCGGCAAGCTGCGATCGAGAACCAGATATTTCAGGATGTCCATGCACGGAGATTGGGCCAGAAGCCAACGAGGGTTCTTCACGAGCAATCCGATCTTTTCGTGCATCCGAGCCAGGAACGATGTGCCCCTGCGCAAATTGTTCTCTGTCAATGTGTCGAAAGAGTAACGACGTGACTGACGTTTGATGCGAGCAAAGCTCCATGGGGCTGTATCCGAGGCATTCCAATCCTCTCAACAGCGCGCGTGAAGCTTCAAGATCGAAACCCCGACGACGTTCGTAAACCTCTGCATAATTGTCTTTATAGAAATTGGTGATGAGTTCTGCCCAGGCTCTGTTTAATCTCCATTTCCAGCTAAGCATAGTTAGTGAAAATACCCCATCCAACGACATAAGGGCCTCCTCACTCATTATTGGAGAGGTGTGACAGCTCTAGAAGCTCAACGTTACCACATACTGCAGCAAAAGTCTGATAACTTCGCGCTCTCTCAAGCAGACGGATTAGGTATGATTTCTCTTCACCTAATTCTAAGGCTTTCTCCTGAAGCCACGCGTTGTCATTTGGTGCAGGAAGGTTGAATCTCCGCTTAGGAGATGCATTCAGCTCATACTCATGGAGGAAATATAGCGCATTGAGTCGTATTTCGCACTCTTTGAGTTTTTTGCTTTTCTCGGCTTTGCGTTGGGCCTGCACAATCCGATGAAGTCGCAATGCGGAGACTGAATTAAAGATTCGCGAACCCTTGACCGACGCATATATTGGTTGATCTCCTGCCCAGATATCGGCGTAGTTGTCAAATGTTTTTGTTTGTCCTGTCAGCTGGTGCAGTATTCGAATAAGCCTATTCCTTATAATTTTATCTTTCTCATGCGACTCAACGAAAGATATTATTCTCTTGTCAATATCTTGCAGGCCTTTAGGTTTTGAAAAGTTGAGCCTCCATGACTCCCTTCCAATATCGGGTAGAGCGCCCGTGCTCCCACTCGTGTCGTGCTGATAATCATCTGAATGCTGAACGATATTCAATTCATCTGAAGGAGGATCCGGTGGAGGGGTCCGTGGCCGCCGGGATTCGTCGGCTTGAAGAAGCTGAACAAAAGCCTCACGATCGCAAGAAGAAGCACTTTGTGACAGTGCTAGAAAAGCTTGTCTTAGATCCTGAACTAATTAGATCCAGTCTGAATCTAAAAATGAATGAGTTCCTACCTTTGAATTTAGGATGGTTCGCAAATCAATGCTCCTTAGATAATTTGCAATTACGAGCTCGTTAGGGGTAACCATTGCTAATGCCGTTGGATGAAGTTGGACGTGTAACGACTCGGAGAGACCTAGTAGATCAAGCTGAGCCGATAATCTCCGACCCCGCACTACTTCCGAAAAGGGTTTACTAGCAGAACACCGCTTTCGAAAGCGGTGTTCTGCTAGTAAACCCTTTTCGGAAGTAGTGCGGGTACGCCGGCCACAGCGCTGATGCACGATCGCGATGGTCAGCTTTAGATTCACCATGTACGAAGTGTCTCTGTAGATATTCATGAGAGCTGCAATCCTGATATAATATACCACAACATTGCCATGTCTGCCTACTCAAGCCTCTTTACATGTCTGGCTGACAAGGGCTGACATGGCAACTGCAAGTGATGTATGTACACACAAGCTGAGTCTTTGCCTAGCTGACTATCATAGGCCCAATCTCCGAAAGAGCAGCAATATTTTACCCAAGAACCTTGGCGCGGCCAAACAACATACAGTTATTCAACTCCCCCTAAACACGCGGCATGGCCACTGCAGAGCCGTGACTTCTCGCCACCCAGGGCGCTCTCTGATATCCCACCAGGAGGGCCGCCGCCAACGTGTCCGCTTCCGTCACCTCCGACTCGGTCAAATGATTCACCAGTGCTTGAGCAGCCAGCTCGACGGGACGCGGAGGTCCCCGTGCCAGGGCTCGGCCATCCGGAGGACGCGAAGGCGGAGCCGCGGCATAGAGGTATTCATCTCATGATGTATTGGAGAAGGGCCACCGAATGGGTTTCCCGGTGTGGCCGGCAGCGTCGACAAGGCCGAAATGCCGCGCATCGCCGATCTTCTTTCTTTTGCAAGGGCGAAGGAGATGGTGTTAGAACAATGCTGGAGGCAAATTAACTGATGCTTTTTGGCCAAGTTGATAGCGTCAAGCACACGCGCGCATATACGTCTCTAGGAGCTTAAACTTATGGATAGCTACAATGATGGCAGCAAATCAATCAACTCGGAGTCGGACACATCGGGTGGCCCACTCCAGAGGCATTTCAATTGTAATCAGTATAAGTATGCATGAATTTGACTCGATCATCTTTTGCAGTAGTCGAACGTCAAACGGTTGATCATGAACCAGCAACAACAGAAGCCGCAACATGGGAGGCAGCACAGGTGGACCCAGGTTGTTCGTCTACGCCTCATCCACCACCGCCATTGAAGCGAGACACACGCCCGTCGGACGAGCCGCGTATCGAGGTGGAAACTGCACTGGACAAAGGGTACCTCAAGCTGTCGATGGTCGAACCAGCGAGTAACGATTTGCAGGGCGAATGAGCGTCGCGAGGATGAGGCAAAGTAGTCGAAACGGGCCAGGAGGGCCTAGCAGATGGACCGAAAATGGTGGAAATGGGCATCCCGCAGCTATCGCTGGGTGCTAGGGAGAACCGAGGGGCGAGGACGAAATCGGGACTCGTCTTAAGGTTTCGGTTGGCCGAGGCGAGGAACCGTGTATCTTCTCGGCAAATCTAGTCGTGGGGGTGTCAGATACCAGCGGCCTAAGACTCTATAAAGAACTTAGATCTATTTGAGGCCAATGATGAGTCCCGTTTATATTTTTTTCAATCTCCACCGGAGTGGAACTTGGTGCCTCAATATATGATTATAGTCTCCTGGACCACGCATTCATTGAGCGGAGCTACCAGATGTAGCAGGGAAAAGCCCTGCCTAACGATGGCAAATACTACCGGAGAGATCAAGTCCTTTCGAGGTCTTGCCCACGAGCCCGAGGGCCACAAGGTCTCTAGAAACTTTCGTTCTCGATCCAGTCAGCGCGACGCAGAATGGTCCGTTGGATCATAGACTCGTCGACATAAAAGATTGATACATTCTGCTTCTCTCATTTCTGATCTAGTCCAACGGTCTTGATTTCAATTCATCCATAGAACATTGAGGAAAATGCTTCAACTTGGAATTTTGAAGGAATCGTTTCAATATTATTTTGGTATGTCCGTGATATTCACACAAAATTGTCTGCACAACTAAACATCCTTCATGCCACTGCTTGTTCTCACATGAGCACGAGTCCTCGCCAACACCCAATGCCAATGAACAACCAGCATTGCCAAATACTAATGCTAAACCTTGGGTAAGTGAACCAAGTTTATTCTTTTCACTCAAACTGTAACATACTGATAAATAAAACTGGCTCGTCCAATGATCCTCAGTCACAAGCTTAGTGAAAACGGGATGGAATATGAAGTGAGATGGGGATCAGAGGAAAAGAAATATTTCCACGGAGACCAACAAGGTCTGAGTTATACCCATAAGCACTATCAGAAATATTGGATGAGCAGGGCACGCTTGGAAAATATTCCACATGGAACTAGAGCACTTAGGAACTGGGAGGAGCAAAGGAAGCAGAGGACTCGAGAATTGGAAGGAGGAAAGGAAGCCAAAAGACTGGAAACGGACAATATTTTGATGGACCACAATGATGATTTGTGGCTGATCAACTTTGGTTGAGGGTGCGCATCGGGCTTCGTTGACGAGCCGTTGAGAACACGGACGGTGACTTGCAAGGCGTGTCGGTGATTATCGGTCTTATGGGATTGAGCGTTTCGCGTTGCTCCATCATTTGACTGAGGTGGACTTAGAGACCATTAATATAGATAATAACGGAATCAATAATAACATGTTCAATATTTTGTATGTGATCTTAGTAGAGCAATTTCTCCAGCAGAAATCATAGAACCGAAATCATTGTTGATTCTTTGCCGGAAATGGTGCAATTCTGGCGGACAGATACTAAGTACCTCGACGTAGCCATGTCGCATCAACGCCAGAGGGAATGGCCGTTAGCGCGAGCGGTTAGAACTACGAAACGGGGATACATGTGTGGCCCCTGTGCGACTAATCCCCACTAGGTGACGCGTGCCTGCTGGGACAGGCTACTCTGAGGGACGTGCTCCCGTATGGAATGCCTTTCCCTGCGGACTACTGTTCCCTGCGGACTACTGTTCCCTGCGGGCTCTTGTCCCCTACGGGCTACTGTTCCCTGTGGACTACTGTTCCATGTGGACTATCGTTCCCTGGGGGATTGTTTTCCGCACGGGACAACCTTCCACCCGGCAACGCAGTCCGTAAGGGAAGGCCTCCCCCATGGGACGGATTTCCTCAGGTGTCACTCGACCCCATGGCCCAGCACAAGGTACGCTTAATAATCACGATGTCGGTTATTTTCTTTGGTGGTGTTGTATGGGGTATCGTCAATTACGTCTTCAAACCCTCAGCGAAAGGATAACTAGCACAATCCCAAAGACTCCGATACAGCGCACATATCATCGTAGACAACTCTGCAGACAGGGTATCTAATCACGCAAACGCCTCTTTCAATGCCGCGGTGTCTCAAATGATCTCTTGGCCGATCGGGATTTCTGGCCAGGACCCGACCCCTTCTTCCGTTTCAGATTTGGCGAGATGGCGCCGAGAATGAACCGCCTTCGCTTGAGGTGCTGCTCTTCTTTGACTGAGTGACCTCCAATCACCGCACGTTCGAAATCAAGGATCTGAACTTGCTGGGTTTCTGCATTGTAGACGATGTTTCGAGCGGCCACATCTTTGTGCTCGACATTCCGCGCACGAATGGCCCGCAAAGCCGCCTGCGCCTGCGCCTGAAGCTGCGTGCGCCCGACCTCCGCACAGCGATGCATCGGTTGGCCGGCAAAACTGAGCACCAGGAGATGGACCACGTCGGCAAGGTCCCAGCCCCAGTATGGGAGAGGCGCCGTGCGCATGTCCACCGCACCGAGGCACACTGGAATATGCTCCCCTTGAAGAGCGTCGAGGTGTCGATAGATGGCTGCTTCGTGCTTCAGTCGTCCAAAGAAAGGAGCCGTGGTGCCTTTAGCCACCATGGTGTACCCGTGGGATCCAAGGACCACCTTGACCAAGCACCCGCTCGCTCCGTGGATGCCCAACTCCTTCAAGAGTGGAGTGGTCCCGACCAGCTCGTGATGCAAGAGGCGCAAAAACGTCCGCCGACTGATCCGGTGCCGGTTGCCGTTGTGGTGGCCCTGCTGGTGGTACCGCACGTTGGGGCAATGCTCATCCAGCGGACGACCCTGCTGCAGGCCGCGGAGACAGGCCTGCGTACAATACGGGCGGTCTTGGACTGCACCGGATGGAGACTCACTCGAGGGAGCACCCGCTGGTGGTTCCTGGTGGGCGGTAGATCGCGTTCGAGATGTCCGCTGGACGGCCGGCCGAGTGGGCGTCTCAGTATCCAAGGTATCGTCGTCGTCGTCACTGCCGTCATCCACCCGCGTCGGGTGCTCGGGAAACGGATGGCATGCCCGGCCAGGTAAAAGGGCTCTCCGCGCACGAGTCATCACGGGGGACATCCGCATGTATTGTTCCTCTCCTGGTTGCCGTGGCGATGGTTGGTAGTCACTCGACGGTGAGCCCTTGGCCAGGGGCGAGGTTGTTTCTGCTTCCTCCAACAATTCCTCCAAAACCGCCGTCCACCGTGGCAGTGTTGTTTGTGCATTTCGGCGCCATGCAGATCCGCGAACCGGCGTGGCCAAGGCTTGTAACGTAAAGGCGAGCACTTGCCCCACGGACGTCAGATGCAGTTTATTCTCGCGGTGGGTGTCGTTGGCCGACCAGCCCGTCGATTTGCCCACATCCTCCTGGGGTACCGAAAGAAAGTACTGTACAGTGCTGTAGTTGTGCTCGGGCACATGAAGGAAGATGATTGCCTCGCCAGTGTACACGTACCCGTATGCCAAACCCGTCTTGATCATGTAGGAATATGCTTGTGTGATGATCGCTGCAACGACATATCGCCGCTTCTCGTGTAGGCTCTCGTCTGGTTCGATGCGCAAGACCTGATCCACGTCCATATCGCCAAGCCCCTCCATGATAAGGCCGAGAGGTACTTTATGGGGAGGTTTATATTCAATCGGGAATAGAGGGTCAACCTGATGATTATCCAGACCTGGTCGGACCTTCCTATAGACACAGATCCGATCGGCATGGGTTGGGGGAGGACGTGTGCGCTCCACCGTCACCAGAGGTGCCTCGATCCGAGGGGGATGGCGCTGGGCCAGGCGATTGGATCGACGTGGCCGCTCCTTTGCGCCGGTGAGTGTCATCTGTTCGAAATCGTCTTCGAGTGGTGCCTCCCCGCTGAGCATGTTCCCGTGACTCTCAAATGACACGGTTCCCTCCACGTGGAATTGCTCTCGCAGGGTCGGGTGAGCGTAGACTAGGTTCACCACCTCCTCGACCTGGTTCTCCACCGTGTTAGTAGCATAGTAGGAGAGGTCCACTTCGGAGCTTATTTGCTTTCGACGGATGGCCTGCCCAGAGCCCTGGAGATGGCTTAGACTGGAAAACCAACGCTGTTCGAAAAAGTCGGGATTCTGCCTTAAATGTTCCCAGACGGAGCCCATCACTTCAGCATACTTTGTCCATGCAACAATTTTGTGCGGCCGAACCTTGTCCTTTGCATTTGCCGGACTGCCTTGAGTTGAGCTGTCCGCGTTCTGGATCGTGAGGCCAAGGCAGAGATAGCGATGACAAGCATCGAGATACTCAGGTAAAGTTGTCTTTCTAGAAACACTTTCCGCCTCCTCCCGTCGCCGCTCTGCCTCTTCTCGTAGCCGGGTTTCGCTCTGCTCTCGTCGCTCCGCCTCTTCTCGTAGCCGGGTTTCGCTCTGCTCTCGTCGCTCCGCCTCTTCTCGTAGCCGGGTTTCGCTCTTCTCTCGTCGTTCTGCCTCCTCCCGTCTCTGGCGCTCCTCTCGGAAAAGTCTCTTATAGTCCGGTGAGTCAGACGCCATCGCTATTTGCGCATGAATTGAATTGCAAGAACGTCAAAAATTCTGTAGGAAAAGGAGTCACCCATCCAGGTGGAAGGAGTTTCATGTCGGATAGCTTGCCAGCGCACATGATAACAGGCCGCCCGATTAACGGGCGCCACGATAACCGACCCCCAACCGCCGTTCCCGAGGCAACAGGCGCAAAACATGCCGGACGCTACAATGGTACGCCGACCCTGAGGTAGTTACCCAAATGGTCATGCTCGAACAGTCACTCATCATGTGGGATGTACAACGCTCTCGATCTAGCATAATCAATACATAATTATATTTGATTCCACACTACGTTAAACATGCGCACACTTGCAGAAAAGCCTCCTTGGAGGCGCAGATCGGACTGGACTGCGACAACGAAATCAGAGAAATGACACTCCTCTGGTGCATTAATGATCATGACACCGTCCCATGGGTGGCTAGTGCATGACGCTGGAAATGCTTCCGGTGACCTAAAGTTATATTGCAGACCTCGCATTTGATCGTCGCGTTCGCCTCAAGATGAGTCAGATGATATTTCTTAAAATGCTTGCTAAGGTCCCCAGGCCTGGCAAAATCATAGACCCGCTGATGCCATGACTTGTTCGTGTCGCCAAAACAAACAAAGCACTTAAGTGGTCGCTTGTTTTGTTCGTTCGCGAACACCATACACTTCGCTGCCTTCAATATTTTTTCGATGAGATCGGCCGTCTCGCGTTCCGGGTCCATCTTCGCCGGGGGGACCGTGTCGAGACGGCATCCGCCGGGCTGATTCGGACGGTAGCTCTCCTCCAAGTGACAGTACGCGGCCACCGCGTTGATCGCCTCGTTCCGTCGCTGCATCTCCTCTTCGAGGGTTGCGCCCGGTAGCGACATGAGCGCCGTGATAAGCCGCTTGTGCTCCGGCGTGCGCTCGACGGAGCCCAGATGTTGCTCGCGAATGTCCTCAAACGACCCGCCCGCCAACTGGTGCTGGATGTCTTTGATCGCCTGCTCGCGGTCCCAGCTCTCGCGGATATTGCGGCGAAGCTTCGCGCGCAGGCGCTGCTTCAGGTTCCTGAGGTCGCGTTCCACCCGTCGGGACTCCTCCTGCCGAGTCGGTCGACCCCGGTGACGATCTCGCCGGCGCTCCAAGCGGAGCACGCGAGGGTCTTGGTTGACAGACTTCGATTGCTCTGCTGTCAGCTTGTACGGCCGGCGTCGATCCAAAGACCGTAGCATACGGCAACTAGCCTGCATCACCTCCGCCTGTGGTTCAAGTCCACGCACAATGGCCTGCAGGTCGACGTTGACGCGCCGCGGAAGATAGTGTCGGACAAAGGTGCGTGGATCGTTATGCTGCATGATCACGTTACGCAGCGCCTCGCTCATACAGCCTGCCGCTTGTCGTTAGCTACCGAGACATGCGAGATGAACATCTGGGATGCCTTCTAAGTGCACCTACCCTCGTCGTCGAATGCCCGGCCCGATCCGTAGCGGAGATTATAAGGTCGCACGACGCCGGCGAATCCCGCGACCTCGCCAGCACGCGTCATCCACGGCTTGACGGTCGAATAGAGCAGACCAGCATCGGGCGAGATGGCATAGCCGGTCGCCGTCCTCATCGACCGCCGAAGGACATGGACGTCTGCCAGCTCTAGCTTGAGCGGGAGTGGGAGGGAATTGCAGCCCGGCGGAATATCCAGCTGGCTCAGTTGCGCAGCCATCTTCAGCCCGGGCACGTCAAACGCGCCATCGGCAAACATCATCCCCAAGAGAATGACGTGGGGGCTCATCACCAACGAGGGGTCGAAGAGGATCTCGGGAATCGGAAATGTATTCCTGCGCGAGCGTCAGGAGTAGGTCCCAAGTATTAGCCCGACTCGGCTGGAGAGAGGAAGGGGATGGGATGGGGGAACCCCGGGAGGGAGGGCGACATCTGCTGCACTTACGCTTCCTTCATGCCCAAGTACGTCTTTGTGAACTCATAGGTGAACTCGAGAAGGATCCGATGGGGCCCGTCGCGAGGATCGCGCAACAGCGTCACCCTGAGGTGCCGATAGCGCAGCTCCAGAGTCGCTTTGGGCCTGTTGGCGGTGATGAATCCAGACAGGGTGAACAAGCCTAGCTGCAGGCGATGTCGCCCAAGCTTGTAGGCGAGGCCAGTCGACGTGAGATTGACCTGCAAAAATTCGAGCACATCGTGGCTGTCCATGGCCATCTTCGCCCTCTTGTTTTTACTCAACCCGTGCTTCTGCGCAAGAGTTTCCATACCCTGGACGAGAGTAAGCACAAGAACGTCGACCACGTACGAATCACAAAGCGTCCTACCTCGCGTGCCGCACTCGTGATATCGGGATCCATCTTCTTCCCTCTCTTCATTTCATACACCAGACAGAACTGCTTGTAATAAGTTTTCAATGACGATAACAGCTTTGTGCCGCGGCACCGTCGTCCATCCTCTCCCGTCTTCCGGTTCAGTAACCATTCCAGGAAGCTGAACAGCAGACCGCGGGTGATCCTGTCGTAACCGTTGCTCGAGGTCGGCCCATAGTTGTTGATTTGCTCCGCCCAGAACCTAGAACGCTGGTCAGCCATGCTCTATTGCCAATCGCATTTCGATCAGCGCCGCAAGAAGAGGGAAGCCCACGCCGCCCAGAGCTTCTCCATCCGCTCCAATTGTTTTCGCGTCCCCGGAGCGTATCCAACCGCCGGCTCCGAGCGGTCCACGCTCTCGGCGAGTTGGCGATAGTATTCGGGAGAATGGGACGGCTCCTCGTCGTCGGAGTCGTCCAAATGCAGATCCGAATCTGAATCCAGAAGAGCCTCCGAGTCGGCCGAGGGATCCGACTTCTGCTCGGGCTTGATCACAACAAAGCGGCTTTGGCATTTGATCGTGGCTACGGCCTTCGAGCGCAGCGGCGGCGTCGGGGTGCGACGCCCGTGTCGGTCGTCCAGAGCAATCGAGGCTCTCGCCATCGCCGTGTCTCTGGTGCTGCTGCTGCGTCGCTGACCATGTGATGGTGGTGGCCAGGAGGGACGGCTGGGCGCTCCATCTTATACGCCTGTCGGGTGGTGCAGTTGAGCAGCTGGGGGACACAGGTCACCGTCGACCGTCAAGATTGCCAGGGCCATGGCCGGACCGGGCGGGGGACAGATGGACGTTCGACGTTTCGACCGCTCGAACTGATGGTCACCGACGTGGTGGCGCGCGCGCGCCGCCGTCCAAGCTGGCCAAGCGAAGCGACCGTGGGCGTGAGGAGCCCCTTGATCGCACCCCCGGCCGACTGTTCGGGACAGACGCCTGGGTCGACGTTGGGTGGGCAGATGCACCTCCCGAAACGGCGCTCGAGGCCTCCAGAAACGGCAGCCCATTGGCCAGCACGTTGTTATATGGAGTAATAAAACTTTTCTAGCTCTTTTTGTTTGAGAGCAAAATAGTAATAAATAGACTAAACTCTAAGTAAAATTACATATAAAACTATATTTTTTGAATTTATATGTAAGTAATCTATACAAGTAAGACTTGAAGTAACCATGTTTTATCTTGAGTTAAATAATAGTTGTAACTAGTTTTTTTTTAAGATTCTTGTATCTTTTAAATAGTTTCTAGTATAAAAAAGTTTGAAACTATTTATAATATTCTTTTTTTAAAAATGGTTTGCCATTGATTACTCAAAAATAAGTTTTTTTTAATTTCTTTTAAGTAACTATATAAAGTATATACATTTTTGTATAATTTATTAATATATATTATTTTATGTTTAGCTACTTTATTTACTTTTTTATTTTCTAGTATTTTTTGAAAACCTAAAATCTACTAAAAATAGATTTAAATATTATTATCTTTGAGAACTTGAATAGTAGAAAAAATTTATAGTAGTAATTATTATTTAAGTCCAGCTATAAAGTATTGTATTGTATTCAAAATACTTTGATTGTTTATAAATATTTAAATAGCTTTTGAGATTATAATTAATCTATATACTATTTATTGTATTGTTTTAATAAAAGCAAAGAATTTTGCATTATAGATTTCTATATATAAACCTAGATATTAGGAAAAAATATATATATTTTGACAGTAAGCAATATAATATCCTGCTCTTGTTATTATTTATAATAACTTATATATATATACTATACAATTATTTTCTAGAATTTAATCTTAAAAGATATTTAATATTGTTTAATGTTTTTCATTTATATTAGACTTGAAATACTTGTTTTTTATAATAAATGCTTACATGCAAATAATATATTTTTAAATTATATAAAATATATTTCTATATTAAAATTAAATTTATTATATTTTAAATATTTATATATCTAAACTAATTTATATTAATTTAATAATTGTATTGATTTTATTTAAAATAATTAAATATATTTTAATTATTTATATTTAATTTAAAAATTTTAAAAATTTTATAATAATATTAAATCTTATTAAATATTATAAAATATTTTTAAAATAATTTAAAATTTAAATAAAAAGATATGTAAAAAAATATAAAAAGTATATTTTTAAAAAAATATCCTATTTAAAAAGCTATTTCATAATTAGAAAATATATAAATATTACAAGTACCTAAGTATTTGAGTTCAATCCCCAGCTAAGAAATCTTTTTTTTATTTTTTTTATTTTTTTCTACTATTTTTTTATCTTAAACTATTTTTAGGAAAAAAGTACTTCTAGTTTAATAGTATAATATTGAGCTCTAAGATTAGACTAGTTTATAAAGTAAGCTAGTTTCAAATAGGAAATAAATTATTATAATTATTTTTTTATTTTTTTAAATTTTTTATTTTTTATTATATTTAAATTATTTAAAATTATTAGTATTAAATTAATAATTTAAATTTATCTATATAATATAAAATATTAAGTATTTTAATTAAAAATATTTTTTAAATAAATTAAAAATTTATACTATTTACATGTAAGTAATTAAAAATTATTCACTATAGTTAATGTATTTATATACTAGTAATAATATCTTCAAGAAACTTATTATAAAATTTTGTTTTTTCTAGTTTTAATAATTTGTATTACTTTATAACTACTAAAAAGCTAACTTCAAGACAAACAATTTAAGCAGAAAAACTTATTATATTTTTATTTTAAATAAAATATTATTTTGGAAAAACTAATCTAGTCAATATTTTTTCAAAATATTTTAATTATAAAAAACAAGTTAAATAAGAAAACTTTTTACTAGATGCCAAAAATAAATAATTTATCTAAATATAATATTATATTGTAGGAAAAAATACTTTTATAGTATAACTAGCATTTATTAAATACTTTACAAGACAAAGCAAAAGAAAAGCTAAAGTTTATTTTCTTGAACTAATAAAATTATTTACAGAGACAAAAAAACAGTAAAAAATATTTTAAAATAGTACTACAAGCTTTAACTACAAAAACTAGCCATTGAAAGTAGCAAAAACTATTTTTAATTATTCAGGTATTTAACTATTTTTAATAGTAAAAACTATTATTAACAATTCAAAGTTATAGTCATTTTAGACAATATATACTAGTTTAAGTTTGCAAGACAATAAATAGCTCTAATAAGATAAAAACTATCAAAATAAATTATTTTAATAGGGCAAAAACTATTATAATAAACTTTAACAAGGCATAAATTATCAAGATAAAAATATTGTTTCCAGAAAATTAAAAACACAAATAGTTAAAAATTTCTATATTAACCTTATATAGAACAAACTTTTTCAAGAGATTTATTATTTTTTTAATGATAATTATAAAGCAAATTATATTTATATATAGTTAGCAAAAATAAAAGTTCAAAAGGAACTTGAAAATACTAAACAAAATAAAAAAAATAAACTTGCTAATTCTAATTAGATAGTTTTATTAATTAAGTAATAGATTAATATCTATGATTAATTGATTGTTTATTCTGCATGCAGCCCTAAAGCTATGGCAGAGTCTATAGTTTAAATATATAAAATATATATTGAGCTTTTGGAGGTTACTCTAGAATTAATTAAGCTGATACTAAATATTATCTATCAATATAAAACAAAAAAAAATTAATACAATACAAAGAAAATAATAAAGATAGACAAAGTGAGAGTAATAAAAGTAATAAAAGAGGGTTAAAGTTTGGTTTTTTTTTTGTTTTTTGATTTTGGAAATCTCAAGGAGTATTTTCATCTTGAAGTCTACCTTAGTCTCATAATGTTTCTTGTTAATATTGTCCTTCTTGATGTAGCAACCATGTTTTTGATACTGTTTTAGTAGTATCTAGATATTCTAGTAAATAGTTCTAGTTTTTTCCAGTATATAATATTTTCAAAGTAAAAACTTTTTCCTTTACTTTTTGTAGTAAAACTTTTCTAGCTTCTTTTGTTTAAGAGCAAGACAGTAATAGATGAGCTGGACTCTGAGTAAAGTTGCAGATAAAGCTATATTTTTTTGACTCATATATAGATAGCTTGTATAGGTAGGATTTGAAATAACCATGTTCTATCTTGAGTTAAATGACAGTTGTAACTAGTTTTCTTCTAAGGTCTTGGTATCCCTCAAATAGCTTCCAGTGTAGAAAGATTTAAAACTGTTTATAATGTTCTCCTTTAGAAGTAGTTTGCCATTGGTAGATCCATTGCTCAAGGATAAGCTTTTTCAACTTTTTTTTCAAGTAGCTGTATGAAATATATGCATTCTTGTATAGTTTGTTAGTATATGTTGTTCTCTGCTTGGCTGCTTTATCTGCTTCTTTATTTTCTAGTATTCCTTGATGTTTTAGAACCCCTTGAAGGTAGATTTAAATATTATTGTCTTTGAGGACTTGAATGGCAGAAAAGATTTGTAGTAGTAGTTGTTGTCCAGGTCCAGCTATTAAATGTTATATTATATCTAAAATACTTTGATTGTCTGTAAATATCTAGATAGCTTTGGGGTTTATAGTTAATCTATATGCTATCTATTCTATTGCTTTAGTTAAAGCAAAGAGTTCTGCATCATAGATTTTCATATATGAGCCCAGATACCAGGAAACAGTATATGTGTCTTGACAGTATATAATATAACATCCTGCTCCTGCTGTTGTTTGTAGTAATCCATCTGTATATACTATACAATTTTCTTCTAGAATTTGTTTTTGAAGGATATTTAGTATTGTTTAGTGTTTTTCTATTATATCAGACTTGGAGTGCTTGTTTTTGATAATAAATATAGCTGGAAATTGTTTTTATAGAGGCCATTCAGTTATTATATAAGATTCTAGCTCTGGTATAGTAAGTAAAATAGTAGCTAACTTAGCTAGTATTTTTATATATTGAGTAAGATATACTTTTGATTTTAACTGAGTAGGTTGTTGATTCTAGTCTAGGTACTTGGTAGTATCTATATCTTGTTCTATTTGTGATATTAGAGGAAATTCTTTGGAAGTTCTTTGTCTAAGTAAATGTAACAAGTATAGTGTAGTTATTTTCAATGCATATTTATAGCTGTGAAGTTCTAGCCTGAGGTTGACAGGTAATAAACATACTTCTATCTCTATAGCTTGTATAGGACTTGTTTTAAAGCATTCAAGAATCTTTCTTAGGACTTGATTTTGAAGTTTTTGAAAGAGGTTCTTGTAGTTTATTTGTTGTTTCTATCAGATTGGAGATCCAAAGTCACTAATAAATGTAGTACAAGCTTTGTATAAGGTAATTCCAGCTGGGACAGATATTTTTTTTTCTAATCCAAGTAGTTTATTTAGGCTATGAAAGACTCTTGTAGCTGCTGTTACTTTTCTAGTAACATGTTTTTTGAAAGATAGTTTAAAATCAAACCAAATTTTTAATTATCTAACACAGGTACTAGAAACTATTATAGTTCTATTTGATAGTATACATGTAGCTTAGCTTGGTGTTTTTGTTCTTTGAAAGTAAATAAACTTTATTTTTGTATTGTTAAATGCAATAGCATTTTCTTCTCTCCAGATAAAGGCTAGTTTAGTAATTTTCTTAAGGATTAAATAGTTAGCTATAGATGTAGCTCCTTGAACTACTATAGCTATATTATCAATATAGCTAGGTAGTTTAACTGTAGGAAATCTATCTTGAATATAATTAAATAAAAATCTTAAATATAATAAAAATAAGATAGGTGATAGAGGTGAGCCTTGTAAAATTCCAGTATTAATAGCTGTCATAGATTGTTGTTGTTTATCAAAAGCTAAACTAATTTGTTTTTATGTCATAAAGCATTTTGTCTAGTTAAGTACTACTTTTAGTAGTTGAAGTTGTTGTAGAACTTGTAATAGTTATATAATTGAAACATGGTTAAATGCTCCTTTTATATCCAAGAATAAGCAGAATAAAACTTGTTTTTGATTTCAAGCTTTTTGAATATCATGGGTAAGTATCATAGCTATATCTATAGCTGATTTTTGTT